AAATTATAGCAAAACAAAAATTCAATTTATAAAAAACTAGCTTGAAAGCCATCCTATTGGACAGCATTTAAGCTAGCTCCTGCATAGGGCTCTTGATTGGGCTTTCATCACAATACATAGGAAGGAGTAGATGCAATAGGCAACAATAAACTACAGAAGAACTGAAAATCAATCGCTGCATTTAAGAATTGCATTAATATTTGAGCTTACCTTTTAAAAGTTTGACAATAACTCTTCTGCCGCCACCTAATTTAAAGACAATTTGATGTACATAAGTCCTTACTTTCCATACAAACAATTACTTTTTATTTCATGAGTGACTTTCGCAATTAATTTTGATTATTCCCAAATTTATTTCCAAGTTATAGAAATTATTATTGTACAAAAAAAATTTCAAAAAAAAAAAAAAAAAATTCTAAAGAAAAAAAAAGAAAAAAAATTTTATTGGCAATCACAAATTTAAACTTGGGAATCCAAAATTTCAGGATTATGGGTTTGGATGTTTTAAATTTGATGATAAAGTTGGTTTGATTCCAAAATGTTATGATATTTTGGGCTACAGTCTCAAAAAGGTAAAGTTGAAATTTCCGTGACACAATTTTTTCAATTTATTCTATAGAATAAAGATTATTCCTTGATGTTTTTATTAGAATAAAAATCAATTTCATATAAATCAATTTAGAATTTTTTTTAATTGCATATATGGATAAGATAAATTATTCAATAGTCAAACTTAATTCATAAAATAAACTAAGATATAAAAATTTGAAATACAAACATTGAAAATCTCTTTAAACAATTTTAAAAACAAGATTTTTTTATTTTCTTATAATTACTATTTTTTTCAAACAATTTTATTTCATTTTTATTTGATATTCTAAGATTAAAAGAAAAACTATCCAAACTGAATGTATAAAGACTATATATATATATATATATATATAAATATATATAAAAAATTTTACATACATTTTTTTTTTTTCCATTTTTCATGTTTTATTATTTGTTAAAAGTTGTAAAGAAATTTCAATACTTTTTTTTAACAAAAACTGTTTTCTAACATTTATAGAACTTTACATTCATCATTGTTTTATGCAATTTAATAATTCATCCTTGTATTTTAAAATTCATTTGTTTATATTAAAGTGTCAACAAAAAAAAAAAAAGAAAAGAATCCAAACAATATTAGATAATTATTCATAGCACCCAGAACTTGCATATAAACATTGTTCATTTTGATTTTGCAATAAAATATATCTTTTATAGAATTTAAATTCAACAATTGTGAGAGGGTGCTTAAAAGTTCTCAGCTTGATTTTTGATGTTTAGCCATTTGGAAAATTCATTTTTTTAAAATATTTTCAGCAATTTTTAAGTATATTAAATTATTTTTTTAATAGTAACTGAATGATTTAGACAAAAATTTTTAAAAATTTTCATACATTAAAAAATCATCATTTTTTAATAGTTATTTTATGTTAACCAAATGACATTTCTAGTATTAAAAATACATTTTTTTTTTTTTTTACCAATATAAAATACTAATTTTATGATAATTATTGGTTTCTTTCTGAAATGGTAAATAATTAAATCTATAAAAATAATAATACAAATAAATGTGGGTGGAGGCACGCTTTTAAGAATTCTGACAAAAAATTCTGGTGTGGAGCGACAGAATTAATTACAAACAACAAAGAAATATTTGAGTCATTCTGGAGTTTGACTTAATTTGTTCAAAGATAAATTCACAGTTAATAATAAATCTGGAAAAGGATTAAAAATATAAAATAAAAGTATAAAACCAAGAATTATCAACATATTTGTCAAAACTTTTGCATCAATGTCTCAAGTGAATTTAGTCATCTAAGCAGTTGAAATCATTCCTTTTTCAAAACCAATTTTTGGTAAATCATCAGAATTCAGAATGGTTATATTTGAGAAAAGAAATTTTTTAAACAACAAATGCAAGGAACAGGAAATTGGAATCATGGGTGTGATAGAACTGATCAAAGAGAAATGAGTAATATTAAATAAAAATAAAAAAACATATTTAAAAAAAATGAATAAATAAACAAAGACTGATTTCATGGAATATTTTAAACACAGCAATATTATATGATTTCCTCTCCACAGTAATGGTTCAGGTTTATCACAATACATATTTGTGGCTGTAGAATATGTAATATTTTTTTAATTGAATACAAAAAACAAAAAAAAAAATAAATAAAAATGAACAAAATCACACTTGTAATATTTGTACCATTCATCTTATAAGCATGCAACGAAAAGGTTTATTGCAAAAATTTTTTTTAATTTTTTTTTTTCTTTTTTTTTTCTTTTAAACAAAAAAAAAGTCACTAAACACAAGGGGTTTGATGAGAGTTTTAACAGAATTTGAGAAAAAGAAAACTAAGAGAGAACAATAAAAAAAACAGGAATTAAGACAGAAGATAATGAATTGCATTTAAATTTTTGAAGATCAAAGTTGACTGAAAGCAAGAATCCATAAGAGAGTTCCACAAGTGAGAAGTGCAAGAGAGGAAACTGCATAGAATTTACAGTTACATCTAGGCATTTCACTGGTAAAATGATGAGACCTAGCTGCCAATCTAGTACTGCACTTAAATTCATAAAGTCTAAATACCACAGACAATTCATCAGAACAATTATCATGAAAATATTTATAGATAAGGCACAGACATGTTACTGTGGTTTTTTTTAGCCAAGATTCCAGATTAGAACAATAAAATTGCAGATTATTATTTTTTTTTTTTTTTTTTTTTTTTTCCCACAAGGATGTGGAGACACTTTTGGATTCTATCAATATACCCCCACTGAATTTTTTTCCCTTTGATTTAAATTAAATTTAAGTTAGAACAATAGAATGACTTCAATTCAAAAAATAGGAGAAAAGCCAGAAAAATTAATTTCAAATCAGAAAGATCAAAAAATTTTTTATAGACATCAAGTTGAGCAAGAAATCACCAATCAAAAAGAAATTACTTTACAATAATATTTTTAATGCAACAATTCAACTGTCATATCAATGTTGAAATCTGCTTTTCAATTCATTCAATCAAGTATTGGATCAAATACATATCTAGGAGTCAGATCAAGCTGTTTTGCATTGCCCCATTTTTAATTTTTCCAACCCCATTTAAATTAAATTTAAATTTTGAACAAAAGAAATGACTCTTATCCCCACCCCCAAAAAGGAGAAAACCAAAAGATGGAGGTCACATCAGCAAGATCCTTGAATAATATTGAAATGCATCATTTTTCTTCACAAGTTATAACAATGATCTAAAATCAATCATCATTTTCTTACAAAAAAAAATGTGACACACAGCAAGGCATGGGTAATTCAGCTAGTTGTATATAAAGATGGAATATGAGAAAAACCTGTTGGAAGTTTAAAATTTTAGTATTTTGTTCAGTAAGAACATTATTGAAACAACTTTTAAAAAAAAAAAAGAAAAAAAAATTTAATAGCAAAACAGCTATAGTAATCATATTTTACATTTTATTTTAATATTTTCCTATGTACAAATCTCATTGACTTGTTCACAGAGATTTACTTTCAATTTTATTACCTGTTAAATTTTCAAAAACCACAGGGTTTATGAATAGCATGGTTGCCGTGGTAACAATTGTTTTCCTTTTTTTTCTTTTTTTTTAAACTAATGTTCTTATTACCTTTACTTTACTTTATCAGATATTTCTGATCAGTAAAAGGAATTTTATGAAGAACATCATTAAAAAAGACATGCAAGTCTCCCCCCCCAGTGACACTGAGAATTAAGACCACAGACAAAATAAAATACAAAAAACTAAAAAAAACTAAAAGAAATTAAAGAATGCTGTGAATATTGAGCTCAGTTTAGAAAATTAATATACAAGAAAAAAATATTTGGAATAATACAATTTTAATTCATATATAGGTTTTAAAAATACAATATACAAGAGTAAAGAGGGTGGAATATACAAGAGTAAAATAGGTATTTATATACAAGATCATAAAGAGGGTTTTTGGATTTAAAAAATTAAAGAAAATATAATATACAAGAAGCCACTTAGGGTGGAATATACAAGACTTGTTTTATCATTTATAAAAGGGTAAAGTATATTTAATATTTCAAAAAATGGGTTTAATATAAAAAATAAAAAAAAGAATAAAAAATTTTTTGTCTATGATTTTTAACATTTTAAAGGCTTAAAAAAATGAAAATAATATAAAATCATATGTTGTTATAGAAATTCATTTCTTCATGTGCAGAGTATATATGAATACAGAAATTTTTCTTCTTCTGTCTTCTCTTGACTAAATGCGAATGCTTATTTGTGTCTCCTCAAATAAAATTATTAATTGATTTTTTTTTTTGATTTTTTTTATAATTTTTAAAAAATTTATAAAATCTTAGATTTTAAAAAGTTTGGAAATAATATTCAATTTACAGATACAAATGCTACTAATTAACTGAAAACATTGGATATAATTATGCACAGAGATATCAAATGTTTAAGATAAGGGAAAATAAATTATAAAAGTTCCTGGGATTCAACTTTTTAAAATAAAATTTCAAAAGATCAACCATTCAGTTTATTTCAATTATTTATTGTTATTAAAATTCTATTTGCAAGAACAAAATTTTATAAGAAAGGTTCAATGTGGTAAATAAAAATGATAATTTACCATAAATGATTCAGAAATTAGTGCACTTTCTATAGATTTTCACTTTAGTAAATTGATATCTTAATCAAAGTAGCATTCTTTTATATTGAAATTATGCTCAGATTCATTAGGATGAGTGACTAATGCATGGAGTATATTGTTTTATAAAAGATATCTTTGGAGAACCTCTGTCATAAAATGATAATTATCAATATTTAAAATTAGAACAGCAACATATGATGGTTAGTTTATTGTAATAGTGCAGATAATACATTTCATACTACTCTCAAACCCAAAGATCCATTAATGATTCTCTTGAAATTTGGGTTACAGCCATATCACGTTGAAAAAACAGTTCTCGTATGATCACTGAAGTTAAGTGACATTGATCCTGATCAATACCTAGATGGGTGACCACTTGGGAATACCAGGTGCTGTAAGTTTGGATGTATGGATTGTATAGTTAAAAATCAGAGTGCCAAATTCCATTTCAAATCAGGTTCGTCATTGTTATAGTGGAACACACCTATTCTATTGTTAATAGACAATAATAAGTAGGAGTAGTAGCAGTCGCCAGTCGCTCAGTGAGTTGGTCAGTCAGTCAATGTCGGACGACCGTTAGTCAGATATTAAAGTATCAGCCACCACAACTAGATTGCTGTGTCATTAACTATTATATCAAGTTCCTAACGTTTTGTACGTCAAACCTATTTTAAGACCGACTTATTGAAATACAAGCCCCACTGTGAAACTACTCTATAACATATTATATTCATATTACATGCAAATACCCTTTAGTTCCATCTGAATCCACCCATTTTTTTTCCTGCCTCCTAAATGTTGAATAGTAGGGCTCATGTCAGTTAATCATTATTATCTTCAAAATAAATAAATTCTTACAATTGAAAAAAATATTTTCTGGCTTCAGTTAACTAGCAAAAGTTGACAAGTCATGTAATTGGGACCTCAAAATACGAACTCATTTTCGATGTTAATCATAAACTGGAAAAATATTTTGTAGCATTCCAGTAAGTATTTGACAATCCTGATATTCTCTACCTTTTTTAGAATGAAAATCAGGCCGTAAATAAATAATTTTCTATTGTCATATATAAGCATGGATTGCCTAGTCATAATATTTGTTTCTTAATAGAATTGAAAACATCTTTTCATCATCCTTGTTAAAGAAAAATTATTTTCCACCCTGCAATCACTTTCTCACAGACAGAAACATCATAAGCAAACTAACGGCTCTATTGCTATTTCCATAAAAAAATGGAACAGGCAAACTACAAATCCATCAGTTCTAACCTTTTTGAAATAAGACCCACCATGCTTTAACCTTTTAATGAAAATTCATCCCCTTCCTATTCTATTGGTGAAATATGAATTTCACCCAAATTTTTTTTTTTAACTGCTGCTTTGTAAATTGATAAATGGACATTATTTTGCAAACCAATCACTACAATCTTAACCTGTTCTAGTCTATGGTTAACAGTTATCTTCCCTACATAACTGCATAAATTGTGCTTCTTACTCTGTAATATTCTACCTCGAGTGGCTCTCAGGCTTTGTACAGAGTGAATGTCATTATAAAAAAAAATAATATGATACCTTTAGAATCCGATATTCATAGCAAAATCTATAAAAACATTAAAATAATAATTAAATATAGACATTTATTTCCCTTTATGTTGCCCCCACACTCCCCCCCCTTTTGATAATAAAATGGATGACAAGAATCAGATTTATTTTTATAAAGAGTTATCTGAACAGTATTCCAAAATACATCCATTGTCTTGTAAGAGTTCAAGTCAGCTTAGGTGTGGCAACACCTGTCTTTAAGATAGAAAGATCTAAGGAATGCCTGGAATCTTTACTATTTTTAAGATGAACAAAAGAAACTATCTCCTAACCCTACTATCAAGGTATGACACAGATATCAATATTTGCAACTCATTGAGAAAATTGGGACAGTGATAAAAAAAAAAAAAATGGAAGCCTTCAAAATATCTCTTTATTAAATAAAAACTAAGAAAAATAATTCTTTTTTTAATCATTTCACTCCAAGCAAGGCAATAAAGCCATTAGGATGCAAGAGGTTACTGAGTGCTACACAAGATGAGAAAAACTTCTATTAAGGAGAGAGGACAGTAAAAGAATGTTATATAGGAATAAAGTGTCACTGCTGACACTTGAATTTGAACATAGACTGCCAATGAGCAAACACAATCACATTATTGAATTAAGTGGATCGTGTGACCATGAGAGAAACACATAAGTAGGAAGACGCGTGATATCTAATTGATGGCCATTTCTAGTCTATCCTGTATTACTATTTGGATTGCTATTTCTACTCTATCCTTTATTACTATATGGACCGCTATTCTCTATACTATTTCTCTATTTGGATCACTATATGGATTACTTTTTGAGCTAATATTATCAAGCAAGTACTATTAGTGCGAGTGCTATTCAAAGGCATCTGACACCAGCATTGTTCAATAGCTTACTATAGTTGTATCTGCAATTACAAAGTCTCTACTACAACAAGCATTACAAGTATTTGCTGGCATCAGAAAAGTGGCAATGAGTGTTCACTGATATCACAAAAAAGAATATGAATTAAAACAGAAGATAACAATTGATATTGCATTTAAGTTTTTGAAGATCAAAGTTGACTGGCAAGTAAGAAGTCTGAAGAGAGTTCCACAAGCGTGAAGTGCAAGAGAAGAAACTCTTAGCATAGAACTTACATCTAGCCATTTCAACTGTAAAATGATGCTGCCAATCTAGTACTGACTTAAATTTGTAAAGTCGAGATATCATAGAGGAAATTTCATCAAAACAATTACCATGAAAAGGCACAGAGAAGCTACATTACAGCAATGGGAAAGGGACTGAAGCTGATATGCCAGGTCAGGAACAATAACATTGCATATTCATTTTTACATTCTATCAAGAATCTCTAAACATAGAGCACCAGACCAGATATGGCAGCAACATTCAAAGCAAGAACAAATGATAGATTAAATTAAGTTTTTCTCCCAAAACATACAAAAACAATAATAAACATCAACCTCTTGAAACTTTTTATTCTTTTCCTTATAAAAAAAAGTCCCAGAGATCCATTTCATAAGGGATCAGAACTTTAATAATTTACATAACAAAAAGGAATAACATTATATATTAGAAATGGTTCACATGTAAATAAAGCAGTTTTTTTTTTTACAATAAAACTAGCAATAATACCTGGCATTTTATAGGTCAAATCCCTTTTCTTTGTTTTACAGATTTCTGTATATCAATAAATGTTATTAACAAAACTTGCATATTTAGATCAGGTGAGCATTCAAGCCACCCAAACCTGCCCTGTTAATATCGGCTCTCAAATGTTCAACCTACCGTAACCTGTCCATGTATACATCATTGCAAATAATGCAGGAAGTCATTCAAACAGTGAGACTTTTAGCGCCAATATTTATAAGATGGGTCTGAGCATGTTGAATGTTAAAGGGTAAAATATTTTGGTAAACATTTATTTTATATACGACATGTTATGAAATTAAATTTATGTTTTTCAGTTTGTTTTTTTTTTTAAATATACTATTAAAAATGTCAGTATTGCTTACTTCCCTTTATATATTGCTTATATCTGTTTATTCCCAAGCTGTGATTTAAATGCTAAGTTACCACTCTCAGGACAGAAAATGACTTTACTTGAATAACTAAGTAAGATTTAAGTATAAAAGACAAAAAGAATACAATCATTTATAAATAATCACAAAAGACCAAATTGGAAATGAATAATGAAGGTTTTTTTGGGGTTTTTTAAGCATTACACCCCAAGGAAGGCGTGAAGCCACTAGGATGCAGGGGGTTGCAGAAGATTTGAAGCAAGAGCAGATAGGAGTGATAGAAGAAAGGATGACAGAGAGGGATAGTGGGTAGATCAAGGTAACTGGAGGTGTCGATTGACATTACATTTGAATAGTTGGAGATTATATCTCTCAGGGAAACAGTAATTGGGAAGGGTGTTCCACAGGCGAGATGTGCAAGGTATGAAGCTATTGGAGTAGAAGAGACGGCTACATTTAAAAGTTTCTACAGAGTAAGGGTGGGAGCGGGATGCCAGCCTCGTAGGGCGCTTGAATTCATAGAGTCTGGGAACCAGTGAAAGCAGCTCATCAATTACCATGAAAGTATTTGTAGAAAAGACAGAGAGACATGACAACGTGTCTGTGAGAGAGTGACTGTAGACGAGACGCCAGATCAGGGCCAATTATATTACATATCCGTCTCTGGATCTTGTCAAGAACTCCGAGGTAAACAGAAGGTGCCCCAGACCATATATGGCAGCAATTTTTAAAGCTAAATAAATAATTAACTATCTACATTAAACAAGAACTCCTAAGTTGGATAAAATAGAAGTAGATGGTAGATGTAAATGATAAAAAAAAACATTTATTTGATATCACAGTTTTATATAACATTTGTGTATGCACCTATATATACACAACTTTATATACATTTAATTTTGTGGATTTCACACAAACTGAGCTTTATATATTAGATTTAAGATTTTGTTTTCTTTAACATTCCTTTAAAAATATTTGTAAACCATCTGATGATGGATGGTTAATATTTAATTAGGTTACAAATGAACTGACCTTAAGTGGTTTTTCACACACACAAGGAAAAGTTTAAAGTTTTTCCCAGGACAGATGTAAGTTACTTTTGCCAGTGTATGTGTGTGCATTGTATGTATCTGTCATAATAATGAAGGAAAAGAAAAAAAAAAAGCATTTTAAGAGAGGCGAGGCATGATTAAACCTACACTAAGCCTACAGACTAAATTGCATTATTTGCTTCATATATTAATTGGATCATTATAAAGTAATCTTAGTTTGAAAAAATATGTTTTTCATGTAATCAAAAAGTAAGTAATGGTTATACCATATTAAATATAAACCAAAAAAAAAAAAAAAAAGAAATTTTAAATAAAAAAAGTAAAAATGGATCCATTCAAATTATAATGCGGTACTTTTTATAAAGTAAAACATTGGTAGCATAATGGTTGAGAAAAATAAAAAGATTTCAGTGCATTCATGAAAATAAACCAATATTATAAGACTGATAAGGTTAAAAAAAAAAAAAAATTATTTCGGCAATTCATTTAATACAATATGTGGAGTCTTAAGCAATCTTTAACATAACCATATATTTCAGAACTCCTTGGAGAATTAACTTTCATGTTGTTTTGGTTTTGTAATTTTTTTTTTACATTTCCACATAAAATTTAGCATTTTCACCTGCCACTGTCTTTTGCAAAATAAAAGAAAATTGTAGTAGTTTAATTATGACCAATTTAGTTTCTTGAATCCAGATTTATATTTTCACTTTTTCTGTCTTTTTTCCAAAATCAACAAACTTTTCAATA